GGCAATATCATATGAAAAGTTATGAAATTCTACTGCCCGACATTGCTGAGACACGTTCCAAGTTTAGAGAAGCAGCCACAAACCAGTTCCTCAAGGACCAAATCCAAACTGACACCTCAACCAGGTGTCACAAAATTAAATGGACAATCATCGGGTTAAGTGGCCATTCTCTGGCAGGAAAAGGGGTACGAGCAAGAAGTCTACATTGTGACAAAGAAACAGTTGGAGATTACTGTGTCTGGGCAGGGGCACAGGGTCTGGTCTTGGCCTAAGGGATCTGGAATGTGAGAAGGGCTCTGAGCTAAGCCTGGGGCAAAGAGTTCAGTTCCATGAGGGGGCTCAGGGTACAGGTTGTGTAAGGGAGTTTGGGCAGCAGCTTGTGGTGCAGGAGGGGGTTCATGACTGGGGAAGGGGCTTGCAGCTGGCTCCAGCTGGGCACTGCTTACCTGGGTGGGGGTGCAGTGGGGCTAAGGCAGGCTCTGCTCTGCCCTGCCCTGGCCCTGCACCACTCCCAAAAGCAGCCAGCAAACTCCCTCCATCCCAAGCCCTGTTGTGCCTCCCTCCACTCTGTGGAGACAGAATACAGGGAGGGAGGGAGCACCCTGACATCAGCACCCCCCCCTTCCTTCCCTGTCCTGCACAGCAAGCAGGAGGCTGGGGGGAGCAAGGAAGAGGCAGCTCCAAGGCAAAGGGCAGGCGGTGTGCAGTGAGGGGAAAGGCAGATGAAGTGCTGCACTTGGTAGCACCTTGGTCAAACCTGTCAAGATCCCCTGTCAGAGGCTCCAAGATCGACCAGCAGATCCCGATCGACTGGCTGGTGACCCCTGACTTACCACCCGTTGCTTTGTACTCAGTACACTTATTTGTATTGTTTTATCTGCCCAGTGTCCATCATTTATTCATAGAAAATATCTCAAGTGGAATTTCCAAAACACTTCAGTCCAAGCACACTGGGGTAGTTAAAACAATAACATCAGCGTATTGAGCACAGACGGACAGATGTTAAGAGGCTGCCAAGGCCCCTTCTCCACAATTTGCTAAGTTTTTAAATATTTTCATCTTCCCACTTTTTCCTCTAAATCTCAATGGAAATATCTGTGGAAGCCCCAATCCGTTCCAATACCCTCCCTCTGGCCCCTCTGGGAGCAAGAAGGAACTGGAGGGGCAGGTAGTGGGTCAGCATGACTCCGGGGGGGGGGGGGATGAATCGACTGCTAGAGGAAAGAGTCGGTCGATGAATGTATAGCTCCCCCTGGCTGCCAGCGGGCGTAGCTCCACTGAAGCCCATTACATTCAACTATTCCATAGTAATAAGAGTGCTCCAGTAGCCCTGCAGCCTCCTCTGTTAATGTGCAGCTCCAAACCCATTCCCTAGCAATGTCCAAAGAACACAGGTCCAGCGCCTCAGCCGGGGAACTGGTGTCAATCTGCAAGGGAGCCAGGCTACTCTGCACCAGCTGAGGAGCTGGTCAGTTTTGCATAAGAACATAAGGAATCTATCAGTGGCCAGAGAATACCAAGCTGGAGTAAAATCCTGCCTCACTGGAGCCAATGGCAAATCTCACAGCAGTCTCAGTACAGCCAAGGTTTCACCTGTTATGCCCATTCCCTCTGCACGTAACTTGTACGTTGGTCCCAAGCTCAGCTACGTTGCTGCCATGTCTCTCCTCTTTGTTTTTCATACAGTATCTTAAAGGGCCCTCTCCACCCACGCACTATAGACCAGCCTCTCATGCAGCCTGGGCCCGCTCCCGGGCCCAAGTTGGGAGAGAGAACAAGAGGCGGAAGGATGGTCTTTGCCAAATGTCACACAGTTACAACAGCAGCAAAACTGAACAAAAAGCCAGCCAGAGGAGCAGAGGCTAACGAGAGCATGGTCCATACAAACAGGGAAGCCCAAGGGACAGAAACGGAATGAAAGAGCAGCCCAGAGATGGGGAAGAGAAAGGGAAGCCAGTGGATGGAGTGTCTGGAAATCAAAGTGCTGTCTCCGAGGGGGAGGAAGAGTGCCAAGGAGGGAAGAGGAAGCGAATTAAAAAACCCAAGGGAAACCAATAATACCTAGGCATATCCGAATCAAGAAACTGCCTGCAAAGATACAAAACAATCACATGGTTAGTGCGGGTTGGATGGATGGCGGCAGCAGCAGCGGCTTTGTAAGTACGTGATTCAGAAGCCGAAGGCCTCCACGCAGCCCTGCTTCAAGGAGGGCGGCAGCGTTGCAGCCAAAGGACCTGACACCTTGCAGGCACGCGTGGACGTGAGAGCAGCTGGGGAGCGAGGGCTGCGGCCTTGAGAGTGGCATGGGGGAGAGACCAGATCCCCCTCCTGACGGGGTGACAGAGTGTGAGTGGGAAGCACCCTTCGCTGGGCTGGCTACCATGAGGAGCTTAAATGACAACCCTGGTGGCAAAGGCTATTGGCAGGTGGAAATCCAGATCCTGCCTGCGTCTGTGCGGAAAGTCGGGGCTGCTGGCTTCCTGAGGGCCTACCTACCACCTGCACAGCGAGGCCTTTCTTGGCTCCCATCAGGAACCACTTCCATGGAAAAGTCAGTACTGGGGGGGGGGACAGCCTGGGGGATGATCCCAGGCCTGCCTGCTGCAGTGAAGACCGAAGGACATACAAGAGCAAAGCAGGCAGCACAAGCAGTCCAGAACGAGGGTTCTCCTCCTGGTGTCCCTGCATCCAGGGTTTCTCCATTGCTGGGACCAAGCCAAGCAAAAAGCCCATGCAGGGATGAAGCAAGGAATGGGTGAAGATGTTTCCTGCCACTGTCCTGTGAACCAGTTACCCCCCCATCCCCGTACCACCCTGTCTGCCCATGCTGCTCCCAGCTGCGGAGAGGCGTCCCTCCCCAGAGAGCAGCGCATTCTCACACGTCCAGCTGAGATCCTGGGAGGGAAAACTAGATCCACAGCTGATGCCCTGGGTCCCCTTTGCTTAGGACCAGTCTTTCCTTGTGCCAAGCAGCCCTGCAATCACCTCTCCGTGCTCCAGAGCACTCCACCCCAGGGCTGAAATCCCTGCCCAGGACCTCTGCTAGCCGCAGGGCTCACGCATGGAAGCGCATTCTCACACGTCCAGCTGAGATCCTGGGAGGGAAAACTAGATCCACAGCTGATGCCCTGGGTCCCCTTTGCTTAGGACCAGTCTTTCCTTGTGCCAAGCAGCCCTGCAATCACCTCTCCGTGCTCCAGAGCACTCCACCCCAGGGCTGAAATCCCTGCCCAGGACCTCTGCTAGCCGCAGGGCTCACGCATGGAGGAGGGAGGGGGAGGAAGGC